TGTTGCTTGAGAAAAAATAGGTAGATTGACCTAAGTAGCAACCTGAGAAGCCCTCGGGTTAGTCACCTTTGAGACCACAGGGACTATGGGTTCCCCAAATGCAGTTGCTGCTGGTGGATGAGACTCTTGTGCTGAGGATGACTGGGCAAAGCAAAAAGAAGATAAGTATAAAAGAAGGAGAGGACTTTAAATATACAAATGTCAAGACAAAAATGCTTGGGTACTTAAAAAGAATTGAACATGCACCTCCAATTCCTTGATGGTAGCATCAAGAAAGGGCTTATCTTTTTTATACATCTCTGCCCCTAATGGCTCTTCCTTTGAAGCAAAAGTGGGCCTCTTGGTTGCTTGAGGCCCTGGTTTCAAAGAAGATGGAGCTTTTAGCTTTTAAAATGAAAATGCAGGTAAGGAATGAGGGTTAAAATAAGATTCACTTACTGGAAGACTTATGTTTCTTTCTGCCTGGCTTAGCTGGAGAGGTAATAAAGGCATAGGGCATTTTGGAAGCTTTGGAGGTCTGAGCCCTTGTCCTCTTCTTGGTTGGAGTTGCCTGAGGTACAGGCTGTTCTTCAGGCTCGGACTCCGAAGTTTCCACCACAGTTATTCTTTCTCGACGAGTGGCCCAAAGCTCCACTTCCGGCTCAGTCTCAGCCTCTGAATCTCCACAAAGTTTACAAATATCTCCACATTTTCTAGCTCCTTGTCTCTCAACCTTGGCTGCAGCCTCTTGAAGGATAAGTTCATTTGTAGCCTTTTCATCTAGCCTGATGCCCACTTCTTCAGTAATGCCTTGGGCTACAAGTTCCAAGATAACCAAGTTAAGGATTAGTGGAAAGCAAATTATAAAAGAATCATATAAAACAAGTGAGAAATGACAAAGGATACCTATTAGAAGAAGCTGGTTCTTCTGACAGATCATTTCCTTCCAGTTTTCAAGCTCACTCGAGCTAGGATAGGATTTGATTAAGAGTTGCCTGAAGAGGCGGCCATGAGCTTCCCGTAAATCCTCTCCATATTTTTGGTCCATTTGGTTTCCCACCAAGTGGAGAAGGTCGGAGTACATTCGAAGTTCAGCACCATGGGCTTATGAGCAATCTTACTCAACACCTCCAAGCTACGTCAAAGCTACGTCGAGCTGCTCGAACTGTGATTGCAGATGGAGAATGAAGATGGTAGGAGGTTCCACAGTGCATAGAGTCAAAGAAGGGCACTGGAATGGCTTGCCTAAATCCCAACCACCTAGCACAGAAGTTAGGATGGTAAGCCTCTAGCCCGTGCTTGTAACAATCACTGCATACCCTTCCAAGCCAAGTCTCTTTGCTGGATACAACTGATAAACTTATCTTTGCAAAATTGGCTAGCATCATCACCGAAGGCATCTTGGAAAAGCTAATTCAAGAACCACAAATACCTCCTAAGCATGGAGGCCCCCCATTCCAAATCTGCCCGAGTCTGGCAGACTCTTAAGAAATACAGGCAGCAGAAGGTAGAATAGTTGGTAGGAGAAGCTTCGGCCAAAATTCGAGCAAGAGCAACACCTTCAGGGAACTCCAGGTTGGGTGCCTGAAGCTCAGGGAAGTACCATTGCAGCCATAGCTAGATCATCCAGGTCGGCCCGTTGAGATTGGTCTCAAAGGGCTCGCCTCTAGTCATCTCGTACAGAAGATGATAAAGATGGGTGAGAAGAAAGAGCCACGTGGCCACATCATCAAAGTGATGGAGAGCTTCCACCAGGAGGATCCACTCAACTTTTACTCCTTTGGATTTGTTGGGGAAGACATGTTTGTTGAGCCAGTATAAGAGGAAATACATGTGCTCCTGATCTCTGTTAGCATTGGAGGACGTCGAGCCAAAGTTTTTCTTGACAATTGGGATGAAACCCATGAAGGAAGTCCCATAACTCTTGGAAGTTGAAGGGTTATACCCCAACCGAGTGATAGAGTCATTAGCATACGAGCCTTCAGCATTCGGGCGGGATGGGGAAGACCAATCATGGGTGACATCCATGATTCTGCCCGAGGGCCTTACCCCGAAGACTTGGGCCATTTCAAAGATAGTTGGGGACATAGGATCCATCCTGAATCAAAGGTGTTTGTCCCCGAATTCCAGAAAAGGAGGGTCGTGGTTAGAAGCTCAGACATGGCGATCACAGTGGTCTTGGAGAGCATTATTAGCTCATATATGTCATTGTTCATTCACTTCTTCTTGAAAACGAGCTCGAGCTCATTTACCCATTGCGCCTAAGCTTCATCATTCATAAAAGGAAATCATCTTCAATGGGTGGACCGTTTAGAAGAAGAAATGCTAGGTTCATCCAAAAACGGGTTGGGGGTAAACCAATTTGCCTTGGGCATGTTGTTCTCCACAACAACAAGGACCCTGGAGGTCCAGGTAGGTCCTAAAGAATGTACACCCCCTTCCTGGAAAAAAAGAAAGGTATTGAGGGTTGCCCGAGGGCGATGAAGGCCATTGAGCAAGCGACGCATGGTAACAATCCCCTAGCCAGACTGGCAGGAAGATTGAGTAGCTTTGGGCACCATTAAGTGTATTAGAAAGAAAATGGAAGAGAATCGAAGATAGAAAGCAAGAAAATTATGAAGACAAGAGAGCTCTGAGAAAATCTGGAAATTCAAGGGATTAAAATTGCTAAGATATTTGGCCGAGAGGATTATGCAAAGTTTATATGGTAAAACAGTTAGTTAAAGTTGGAAATCGTGGGTTAGTGCAAAGGTTTAGTTAACAAAGGTTGTTTTAAATGGCGCAAGTCCCGAGTGAAAGCATGCAATGACTGTTTAATCATCATTAATGCCTCGATTTGCAGACTCAACAACGACTAAAGGGGGCACTATTTGGGTTAATATTTGAATATTGGGCTTAAATGAAGGAAAGCCCAAAAAATGCCAATTAAGAAGGAAACTTGCCCGAAGCCCAGAATTGAGCCCAGAGGCAAACTAAAGCCTTCTCAGTCAAGACACAAGCCACATGTCTATAATTGAAGTGAAAAGTGATGGAAATTAACTTGCTATTAGCCAAAGAACACTTTCCAATGGAATTACAAGTAAAAAGATGATGACTCATTACCCTCCCAGTGCTTTAGGGCAAGAGCAAAAGCTACAGCAGCTAGGCCAAATAGCCTATAAAAGGAAGAAGAGACAACGAAGACAAGGACAGTCAACTAATCAAACAAACAAACTTACAAACTCTGCTCTTAAGCCAAATTTGCATCCAAAAGCTTAAATCGTCCCAAATTCAGTTCTTTTAGCGATAGTTCGTTAGAAAAGCTATCTATTGTCTAGTGTAAAAGCTCTGCTACCTCCCTTAGTGGTGTAGTATCGATTCCCTAGTGTAAATTTGTTTACCATCCATCCCATTTTAGCATACAAACCCTGTAAACTCAAAGAGAAGTGGCTGCAAGAGGTTCAACCTTGCCAGACATGGTGAAATCTTGCCCGAATCTCTTTGTTTGTTCTCTAAATTAGTAGATCTATTGCTTAGTGTACTTTTCATTATGTATTCAAGTCATTTCCACCTGTTTTTCTATTTTAAGCGTCCCATTTGTATCTAGATATGTGTTCATTAAGAGGAATTTGGAACTAAGCAAATGATTTAAGGGGCTCTAGATTCCCTCCATTCGAACATACAAGATCATGAACTAAAAGTCCTTGTTTACAAGGCAAGAAAAAGAACTTAATGTGGACTTAACCCATCCATGACAATCCTTTGATAACAAGAAGTTTGAGTAACTTATCGACTTTAAACATACTTGTTCTACATCTACTATACTAAGATAGTAGTGGCACGCCTGAGTATTTGGTTAGTTGGCCTATACCTAAGGCCCCACAAAAGCACCTTTCAGAACTAACTTTAAGCTCTGACTGCAGCACACAAGGCAAGTAAAAGCCCGACTACCAAATACATACATCAAAGTGCCAATCCCTTGGAGAGCTGTGCAGAGGTCCAAGAAGCTTTCTCCAAGAAAAATCTTTGCCTGAACACACTTACTTAGGTTGCGACTCTCACTTAATCAAAAAATCGATAACTTTCATTTTGTATTTTTTTTTAAATAAATTGTGAGAGACTTGTTGAATACTTGGATGAACACTCATTATATTTTGGTTCCCATGTTGTCGATATGTTATAATACTTTCTAATTTTTATGTCCTTGTATTTTCAATTTATGTATCCCAATACAATTACGTATTTTTTTAATTATAAACACGCTTATTTATATGATATATAATAAGTTCACTTAAATCTGTCTAGTTCGCCTAGGCACTAGGTCCCAATCAACCACACAACTAGCACCTATCGTCTTTTAGAACCTTGTTTTTCACCCTATAAAGAATTTATTATGGACATTAGATGCTAAAACATTGTATAACAAAACCTCCTTTAATAAGAAGTAACAAATGAAATGACCTCAACCTGATTATTAGGATGGGTTGGATTGATGCATTGCCCAGCTATGTGAGTCCAACTCTCGAGACGGTTTGAGGTTGTCATTATTTGGAGTATGTTTCATTGAATGATGATCCTCTCTAGATTCTCTTTGTAAGGATTCCGGAGATCTTTCAATCATATTTGTTCATCGTAAATTGTGCAATCAGAAATAATTGTAAATCTTTTATTTAAAGTTAAATATAAACAGTACTTGACAAAAAATGATTGCACTATGTACGATAAACATATATGATTAGAGGATACAGTACTTGACAAAAAATAACTGCACGATGTACGATAAACAGATATGATTGGAGGATCTCTGATGGAGAGGATCCTCATTCAGTTTCATTATCTCCTCCTTCGTATTCCTCGAAGAAACAAGGTCAGTAGTGCCAATATCCATGTCTTTGGTGGTTGTGGCGGCCATGTGGATTGTAGTCATCTTTCAGCGCTTCACATATCATTGTCTGAATTTACTAAAATATGCAGAGTTTGGATTATCGGGCCTTTTTTATTTCTACCCCTATGATCATTTTATATGAAAATAAATCATCCAGTTATCAACTCGTATCTTTCGCTTTCCAATATTTAATAATTGAAGATTTCTTTGTTTATTTGTTGATGAACAAGCGAAAACACAAACCCAACACATCTAGTTACCGACGGGATTTCATCTCAAACTCGGCAGCACGCGCCATCTCGACAATTTTAAAAAGGATATTGGGGGAAAACATAAAAATCGACAGCTAATCTACGATTAATCCTTGTACTTCATATCGGCCAAGGAGAAGCCGGGCATGTCAAATGAGGAGGAGAACTTCTCAACATCAACCTTGAGTTCTTCAATGTCCTTGTTGTTCACCAGACCCTTGTTGAAGTCCTTGAGTAGTTTTCCGTGCTCCTTCTGGATTTTCAAGGTGAGAGCTACAGCCCTGTGAAGAAACTCCCCTATCTTCTCAAAATCCTTCTCAACCAAACCTCTTGATGTCATGGCCGGGGCACCTGTTGTCAAACATCCCATAACTTATTTCAGGACAAATGCAGCAAGGACGTCTGTGAATACAGTACTACCATGGTTGATAAGCAAAAACTGAAAATTCACTACATGCAGAATTTTTTTTTCTACTACACACAAGATAATTCTTAACTAGCCACAGTGGAAAAGCCGATTCATATAGCACTTCTTACCAATTCTTACTCCTCCAGGAGCCAAGGCACTGCTGTCGCCAAAAACAGCATTCTTGTTCACAGTAATGTTGCACAGGTCACAAAGCTTCTCAACCTTGTTGCCTGAAGAACATCATCAAAGAGTTAGATTTGTATAGGAGAAACACAAAAGAAAAAGAAATGCTCGTGGCCATCACATTTATCATTCGAGAAAATTGAACACTTTACCGGTCAAACCAAGAGGCCTGAGATCCCACAGAACAAGGTGGTTCTCTGTTCCTCCTGTAACAAGCTTGTAATCCTTGCTCATCAAGTAGTTTCCAAGGGCAACAGCGTTGGCCTTGACTTGTTTGGCATAGGCCTTAAACCCAGGTGTCATGGCCTGCTTAAGAGCAACAGCTAGGGCACCAATCTGGTGATTGTGAGGACCACCCTGAAGGGAGGGGAAAACAGCAAAGTTGATCTTGTCTTCAAAGTCGTAAACTGCATCCTCGGGCTGGCCCTTCTTGGGTGGTTTTGGTCCCTTCCTGTAGAAGATCATACCAGCCCTAGGACCCCTCAAGCTCTTGTGGGTTGTGGTTGTGACAATGTCACAGTACTCAAAGGGATTTGCAGCTTCCTATACCCAAAGAAAGAAGACAAACTACAGAGTAAGAACATAGAATCTATTACAAGCACGGTAAAGCCAGTAATACTAAAAGCAAAGCTGCACCCGTCATGTGTTAAGCCAAATAAAATAAAACAATGTCAACAATTATCCGAATGCAATGCAATTTAGAGTTGCAAATGAAATTTACCCCTGCAACAAATATTATATTGAAACAGAGATGAAGAACATAGAAAACCAAATCTAGCAAAAGGCCACCAGTCAATATCCAGATCCAGAAATTGTGCAAGCAAAGCAAAGCCAAACAATTGAATGTGCAGTGCAGTGCAGATCTACTGCATATTAAATTAACCAAAAGAAATTTACTTTTCCAATTTCATCCCCTCTAGAACACCCATTTTACTAATTGCATCCATTTCCATTTGCATCCTAGTGAAAGATAGACCTAAAATTATCGGAATTTTGCAGATTCCAGATCTTGATTCAAAACAACGTAATTAAAACATTGAGCAGTGAATCAAAGATATTCAAAGACATTCAGATTGGATCATAAGAAATGTGAGTAACTACAAACAAATAAGAATCGAATCGAATCGAAATCAAAAACCAGATCTGCTCAATCAAATTAAGTAAATCACACAAACCCAATTCATTAACATCAAATTTAAGCAAACCCATCAGATCTGATTAACCAAAACACAAACGATTCACAAAAAAAAAAAAAAAAAAAAAGCACATACCTGAGCAGCAACAAGGCCACTAATGTGAGCCATGTCACAGAGCAAAAGGGCACCGCACTTATCCGCGATGGCCCGGAACCGTGCGTAATCCCAGTCTCTGGGGTAGGCACTGCCGCCGCAAATGATCAAACGTGGCCTGAAATCCAAGGCCTTCTCCTCCAACTTGTCGTAATCGATGAACCCAGTTGAGGAACTGACCTTGTAAGGCAGACTCTCGAAGTATATCGAGGTGGCCGAGATCTTCTTCCCGCCGGAAGTGTAGTACCCGTGGGTCAGGTGACCGCCAGAGGGAAGGTCCAACCCCATGATGCGGTCGTGGGGATTGAGGACGGCGGTGTAGGCGGCGAAGTTGGCAGGAGAACCGGAGTAGGGCTGGACGTTGACGCCCCATTTGGTGGCGTCGAGGTGGAAGGCCTGAAGGGCACGTGAGCGGCACAGGTTCTCGATCTCGTCGATGAACTCGTTGCCGCCGTAATAGCGGTTGCCGGGCATGCCCTCGGAGTACTTGTTGGTCAAGGCGCTGCCGAGGGCCTCAATGACGGCGAAGGAGGTGAAGTTTTCGGAGGCAATGAGCTCGATTCCTCGACATTGGCGGCGCTTCTCCTTCTCGATGAGGTCGTGGATTTCGGGGTCCACGCTCACGAGGGAGGAGTTTCCCCAAGCGTTTACTGGTTCCATTGGGATGGGATCGAAGAAGAAGAAAGGCGGAGGAAGAAAACGAAGGTAAATGAGAGAAAGTGGTCCGGGTGTGCGGGGGTGGTGGCGTGCCTGCGGCAAAATGATAATTGGGGTTATAGGAGCTGTATTTGCTGAAAATACTATTTTGGCCTTCTGGGATTCTTTTGTGGTTGGTGTCAAATGTGGATTAGTGGCTTCCTGAATCATCATCCTTCATTTCACAATTCATGACCTCTTTTTTTTTTTTATTTATTTATTTATTAACAAACGATGATATTTATAATAGGGGAGAGTGAGCTAAGTTCCACAATAAGTTGGTAAAAATGTGGTTCAAATTCGACTTTGGCAAGAATCGAACCTAAAACCTCTCACTTTAAGTGAAGAAGAATATTAGTATGCCGTAATACTAAGTAGTAAAGTTTTTTATTGTTATAAACAATAATCTAGATTAAGGAACAAAGAGTGTTTAAGTTCAAAATGTAGATGAAGATGAAAATCTTGTCTACTAAGACAATCTACCACTTGCTAATCACAATGACCTTAGGATTTTAACATTTTTCATTAGGAGTGGACGAAAATACCAAAAATACTGAAACCGTGCCAAAAATACCAAATCGAGAATACTGAAAAATTCAATACCCAATCCTAAACCAATAATGAAAAAGTTGGTAAGGGAATCAGTATGAAACCTTGTTTGGGCCCAAAATAATATTTTGGGTCGAGCTTAGAGTTGTTCTCGACTCAGTAATATTCATCTAGAATCTTGTCATGGGTTGTCCAGTCAATGTCAACCGAATCCTATTGCTAGAAGGATTGGTTTGGATAAAGGTGAGGTAGTCGAACCCTAGAGCAACAAGGAGTCTTAAAGCTAAAGATGCTTAGAACTAGGGGATAAATTTGGTTCGTTAAGGAACTTGGTTCAAAGTCCTATAAGGGTTAGGATTGGCCAAAACCTGATCATATTGTGTGACGACCCATCCCAAATTTCATATGTAATTTCTCCCCGAGTATGAAAATTGACATTTATGCCCTTGTTGGCAAAGTGACGTGGACGTGGACATGTTTATGCAGCTTTAAATTATTTTTCTCGTTATCGTAATTAAATAGTATTCGTTGTTACGATCGTGTGAGCGCGAGTTAGACCCGAATTTGATTTGTAACGAAAAAGTTACGTTACGTTAAAGTATATAATTGACGGGTAGAACTGTACACGAGTGCGTGTTAATTTATCAGTATTAGAAACAGTGTTTTGGATAGATTTCATCTAATTACTTTTGTACAAACCCTATCATTTTCCTTCTTTAAAGCCAAATCTGTGCCTTACACCTCACCACCAATCAATTTTCACTCTTCAATTCTCTCACCCAACCAAACAATTTCCCTCACTTTTCCACCAATCAGAAAAGCTATCAGTCTCTCTCTCTCTCTCACCTCCTTCTCTCTTCCTCACTGTAACTCTCTCTTCTTTGTGATCACCAAGAACACGTATCAAAACTCGTAGATCGAACCTCCAACTAGCACCATCGTGTTCCTCTCAAACTCATGAGCATAACCATACCAACCGATTCTTGAATGGTTCAGTTTTAAGTGGTCAACGCAGAGCAACTCAGAAGGTCCGACTCGGATAAGTTTACCACGACGTGATCCCGGCCTAGTCACGATGTTTTAATGGTTGTAGGATCTTCCATTCAACTCCTTAAGGCCTTTAGTCAAGGTTTGAAGAAGCACTAACGTTGGAACAAGCAAGTTCGAGGACTTAAGTTTTAGGCCGAGACTTTCTAACCATTTTCAGGCCATTTCCTGTCTACTTTTCGACTTCCAAAAGGTATAACCTTGTTCATCTCCTCTAGATCTTCATTTCCATGTAAAGTTGGTCAAAAATGGTTGAGAATTGAGTAAGTTATACGAGTTTGAATTTTTCCCCAAAAACCGGCCACTTTTTCTAGTTTCGAACGAAACCAGACAGCGGATGGCAAAGCTTGTCAGAGAAGACGACGAATATTCCGTTAGACTTGATGAAGTATTCTAACGGCGCCAAGTTCCGTTAAGTGTTTAATGAAATATTCCGTAAACTCTGACGAAATATTCCTGTCTTCTATCAGATTTTGCCAGGTGCGTGGCCGCGCGTATGGCTGTGGGTTGGGCGGTGCATGACGGTGCATCCAGCGTCCAGCCAAGGAATGGTTGATATGTGTGGGTCCGTGACTTCGAGTAGAAAATTTTCGTATATTCAAACCTTCCGTTTGAGCAAATTATGGGGAGTTTTTCCTAGCTTTTCTGTATATATGTTAGTTAAGTAATTATTATTAGTTGTTTTACATACAGGGGAGACTTACCCCTAAGGACGTACAAGGACAAGCGAGACTAAGGGGCTACAATCCATTGACATACCAATGAGTGGGCATTTTTGTTTTCGTATATATATAGGCACACACTTTATAGTTTCCACCAAATACTTTTAAATTGATTTATGCATATTATGCCCTGATTTATTTAGTTTTAAAAATGTTGTTACGTGGTTGAGATTTATATACTGTAATGGCATATGCATACTATTTTACCTGCTCATAAATATTGTACTATTGTGAAGTGCTAAAGTAGCCATACGAGATGTGCAGGTAAGTTCAGGTAAGTTCATTATGTGAATTGAATTGTTGCATCATTATGGCATGCATATATTCATGTAGTGCTTATCATTGTTGCACCCTGGTGTTTGTGCTCTCGCCCCGGGCCAGGGTCAGTCCTTCACATGTATGTTAACCTCCCACACCGCACACTCGCCTTCAATCCAAGTAGGTGCTAGCCTGTTATACGGGTCGCATTAGGCTACTTCGACTCGTAAGTAACCTTGTATAGCGCTAGCTTCACATGATCGTAGCATTAGAGCATATATTATTACATGTAGCATGTCGTACAGGTTGCATTAGGCGACTCTGACTCGTGTGTTAGCATAGATTGATGAACAATAGGTGCAGTCGCACAAGTCACATTAGGTGACTCCGACTTGCGTGCTAGTATTGAGCACATGATAATATTTATATTGTTGATGAGACATTGAGTTCTGGCATACTCCTAGTTTTACTGTTAGCATGCATTTGATTTCATACTTATACATAGTATGATTTTCTAGAAACTATACATGTTTTACAACGAAGGGTTAGTATGTTCAGAAAATAAATGGATTTGATAAATCCTGATTTTTGTGCCCACTCACCCTTCTGTTTTTCGACCCTCCAAGTCTTAGATAGCTGAATTATTCTGTTGCATGTGCGAGGATTTGACAGCAATTCTAACATATCTCCATTTTTAGCGTAGGAACTTATCCCAATTGTGTAATAAGTACTTCTCTAGTTTGACTGCTTACACTTATGTTATCTATGCTTTGAACATTTGTAGTTTATGGGTTTTACCCACTACTGCGCACTCACTTTATTAGTTTAAATAAGTTCTATTTTCGGTTTTAATTTACTCACATTTTTTTTTTCACATCACTTGCACCTTTAGGTGACGGCCAACATGCCTTGACTCCGGTCAAGGTGTGTCTGATTTGGTTGAGGAGTTATAATCCGAGTACATATCTAGTTTGACCATGAAGGGGATTCGCTGCTATAAATAGATAAGGGAGTGCATCATTCAAGGTCCCTTCAAATCAACACACAAATTGCCCTGCGTAAAGCTTCTCAACAACCCTGAGATTTTTTCCTCTCCCCCTTTCTTCTCGCCAACATATCTTCAATTTGGATAAACAACACTATGAAGGCAACCGGCGACATCTTCAGTTTGGATAAACAGGACTAGAGCCATAGAATCAGCTAACCAAGGAGCATCTTCAGTTTGGATAAACAACACTGCTTCGAGACCGACTGGTATTTATCCAAGTCTCGGTCAATAAGGATTTTCGAGTCCTTGTTGGTAAAGGTCATCTCATCAGCTTTCTTTGTGACAGCCTGACCCGAATTATTTGTACTGTAGGTGTGAAATGATGATTTTGCCCCTGGACGTTAATTTGTGTTGTAAGGTGTTTGGTTTGTTTTGTTTTTGGTTGGTGGGCTGCCATCTGGACCACACACCCACACACACACCCGTAGACCTTTCTCTCTCCTTTCTCTCTCGAATTTTCTTCCCATTCCTTTGCAAGTGTACGGACAATGTCAAAGCTAACGTTCCACGCACAGATCGAAGGTTTGAAGGTTGGTTTTGGACTCCTTTCGAGCTCAGGAGTCAATTGGTGGTGTTGGTTAGACTTGAAACCTTCGAAAACCCGAGAACCATGAAACCCTGATTTGGTGCACTGTTCTTGCACACATGATCATGCGTTTTTTAGAAGTTTTTACGGTTCTAGGGAGCTTTAGGATGTCTTCACGAAGCTTGGGGAGTAATTTTGAAGTGTTTTGGACGTCGGGAAGCTCAAGTTCATCGAGTTGCAGGGTTGGCTGGATTATCAAGGTTTTTTTGGCGAGATTCCGTTGGTTTTAAGTCCCCAAAGTGGTAAGGTTTTGTTCTACTCGTTGTAAGCCTCATTTTGGTGCAAAATTTCATGGAATTTGGTTGAGAAATGAAGATTATATTAAGGTTTGAAGTTTTTCCAGTTTTCGACGAAATTTGAGTCCCAAGCGACGGCACTGACGACAGCGACCGGCGATTGGTGAGGCTCACCGGAGAAGGAGGCGAATATTCCATCAGGGTTAATGGAATATTCTAACGGCATCAGGTAACGGCCGTTAACTTCTGTTAGGGTTTTAACGGAATATTCCCTAACACCGTTAGGGTTTCACACATGTGCCAGGCACGTGCCCGTGCGTGGCCGGCGCATCTGGCCATGCCTTGGCCTGCGCGTGGCTGCGTGTGGGAGGTCAAAAAATTATTTTAAAAATATGGGCATGTTTGTGAGGTTGAGTAGAGTACGTTGGTATATTCAAACACCCCATTTGAGCAATGTATGAGAAGTTATTATCTAAGGTTGGTTATGTGCGTTAATTTGACGTTTATATAGTTGTTTCACATATA